CGAATGTTCACAGACACACCTGGAAGGATCACAGCAGCCCTCCCTGTGGGGAAACTGTATATTTAGAGTCACGGGATCAAGGTCAAGGCAGGGGGAATGCAGCACAGAGTGCGCTTCTATTATCTCTGCAGAAAACCAGCATGACAAGAGGTCTTCTTTTACCCCACAAACATATGCCTACCCCTTCCACTTGTTCACATTATGCTTCCTTACAGCCTCTACTTTCAATGTATTTCACTCTGATGCATTGACAAAAAGCAGTGCATAATATGGCGGATCGATAATATCTGTATTAAGACTAAATTTCTTCTTTAGTTTCAGATTTTGTTTTAATTTTGAATTGCAGTTTCTCAACTCTACCTGAGAAGAGCTTTTGCTTTAATTTGCGATCAAATAATACCTTGTTAATTTAGGAAAAATGAACTCAAATCATGTTATTAAAGTATTTTGTAGATACCTATTAACTTTGTCCAAATTCAGCCCTGATTTAAACAAAACAATTTGGATTAAATAATTAAGTATGGTTTTAAATGAAAGTTTTCTTTATTTTATTATTTAAATTCATTATTTAAAAAGGTAGGGCATTTAGTTACTTAATTGCAAATTTCATAATTTTATAATATATTTAATTATTTACTGATTTATTTAATAATTTATTTGTACATTGAACTATTTAGTGGTAAATTAAATTACTTAATGACATTTTTAATCATGTTCTAATGCATTATAGAGTTACAAAAAAATATAAACATCAAAAGTTTGATGAAATATAAAACTTAAATGAAAGTATCAGTATTGATATCAACAATACAGACTTTTTATTAACTTGTTATTGTAATAAAACTTCTCTGCTGCATAAATATGAAGGAAAACCAGAAATGATTGCATTAATTCCCTTTTACTTAACCACATCAGATATGGAAGTAATTGCCTTTAGAAGTCACATAATTAGTGAATAAAAGGTACTTAATCTCAGGTAATTACATTACAGCTCACACACAAAGCTGGCCAAAGTTAAAACAAGTTTAGGTAATAAAATAATATCCCAAACTGCAAAATCAAAAATGTTGCTTGCTAACTTTTTTCTAGTTTCAAATGAAGTATGTTAATAAACTTAATAATAAATTAGACAAAACTGACTCACAAGATAAAGGAGCTTGTTTTAAGTAGATAACTTCTTAGTGTTGATAAAAACTAAATAAATGAAAGTCCTATTTCCACTGGCAGATTATGGCCCAGTAAAAGTCCACACTCTGAATCCAGATGTGCAAAACTGGTACAATTAAATCACAAAAGGCCTGGTTGTTCAAAGTACTGACTCAGGGAGGCTCAATACAAATGAATGCCACTAATTTAAGACTTTTTAGTAAAAAGAAAAAGTTGAAAGTATTATCTAGTGTTGATAAATCAAATGAAATCCAAATAAAATTCAATGTTTTTGGTTGTAATGTGACAAAATATGAAAGTAACTCAATGGGCTACTCCCCTGACTGCCATCCCAGATCAGCTCTCATCAGGACGAAGTGCCGTTTTAATTAACCGGAGCAGATCGGCTCCTCAACTATCTGATGGATAAGAGAGGCGGAGCACAGCGAGAGAGAGATTAGGAAAATTAAAGGTGGATGAAACAGAAAATAGATGCAGCCTGGGAGGAAAAAGAGAACAAACACAGAGCGGCGTGCTGCAGCCTCATAAAGGAACGGCTAAAATCATAATAACAAAATGAATAATTCAGCAGCGAACGGGGGAAAGGTTCACTTCACTATAATGAGCGTTTTTGTGAGGTCGTAGTTTTGTAACCTAAGCAGGGCTTTGAGCGTGTGGCTGTGTGTGAGTAGGAGATACTGCTGATTCAGTAGGGATGGATGAAGGTGACTCTCTACTGCCTGACTCTCCTCCTCATATTGATCCCAGTTGTCCAACTCAGATCTCACTCAAGGATACACTCATTGCCTCCTTGACATTTCCAATACGACACTGTGAAAGCTGTAACTCCACGCCTGGTCATTGAGGGGTTGTTGATCTGCCGGCAAAGTTAGAGGAAACCACAAAATGATCCACAAGATGACCAAAACTTAGGATGCATTCACACCAGCCCTGTTTAGTCCACTTTAATCAAACTCGAGTTCATTTGTCTCAAAGGTCTGGTTCAAACTCTGACGCAGTTCGGTTGAAGTGAACTCTGGTGCGGTTCAAATGAGTGGACAAAAGACTGCTCCAAAAGGAGGAGGCAAATTATGGCACAAAGCATTCTGGGTAAATATAACCAAAACAAACATGAGGGAGAAAAAGTTTGTGAATTTTACCCAAAGAAAAATCCTACAACTGCTGATATCTGATGCAACTCCATTTGCTTTGCATTTTGTGAAGAAAGAAGTTGCACTCATGTATTTTCCAGAAGTTTTCAAGCCGTTTCCTTCAGTAGGTCCTTGGAGCAGCGCCCCCACAGGTGAGGAGGGGAACAGGATTTTCAATTAGTATGTTTCATTTGACACAGTACAGTGTGAAATCAAACCACAGCAGCTGAAAATGTAACAAATGTTCCCAAATCGAACTCAGTGCACTAGATTATCAGGTGTGAAAACACCTTTAATCTGTAAACATGCAAGCACATGGCGCCACATTCTGGCTCGGATGTGTTGTTGTTTTCATACCAGACTGCACACAAAGAGTTGAGCACTAAGAATAGAGCAGGCTACAACTGCAGCATTCAAATGCAGTGGCTGGGAGCAAAGGTTTGGACCACATATGGGAGAATGTGCCTGTGTAGACCTGCACCGTCAAGGGTAAACTACACACACACACACACACACGCTTTAAGCTCACCTCAAAACAGCAGCATGAATATGCATGATGCCGAAGGACGCAGGAGAAACATAATTAGACAATCAACAACTCCCAGATGACACGCATTACTACGACAGACGGGATGTGCCCCTCACTTCATCCTCCCCTCTTGTTAGCAGTAAAAAGCCGAGTCGTGCTTATACGTCAACATGAATTCCCACTTACTAGAGGCTCAAACTTGGGCAGAGAGCTGGAACGAACAGAATGAAAGCCAGAGGTTCGGCACAGTGAAGGATGGGAGCCGAATGTGAAGACAACCCAGCATAAAATGTAACTCCACCTCAAATCAATTACAAAATTAATGCTTCAGATTCAGAGCAGACACTTTGAAATGAACCGAGACACACCTTAAAAGACAAACAGCAACACACTCTCACACTAAAAGTGCTGCAAGGCACTCTTATGCACGCTCCTGTGCACGTGCACTCACACACACCTGGCTGCGAAGTACACAGTATATATTTGAATGTGTGACTTATTCCTGGCAAAATGGGAGCAGGTGTCCCGAACAAAGGCTTCTGTTTAGGTTTCATTAAGCCAATTTGTGGAGGAGATTGGAAATTTAAAACAAATACAGGAAGGGGATCTGGGAAGTTGCAGAAGCTATTTAAGCATTCAGATGGACTCACAGAACCAGAAGCAGCGACTCGGCCGAGCCGCTTCCTGTGCGCCTCTTAGCGACAATTCATCACATTATTAAAAATAGTTTTCTGCATATTTTTAGCATTTGGTTATCTTTAATTTAGTGTCAACCACTGTAGTTAATCTAAATCAGCTGTTTTGTTTTTTTTTCTGATTATTGTTTTTCTTAAATTTACATTTTTTTTTTACTTTTACAATTTTCAGAAAAGATATTACTTTCAAAAATAATAAAATGCTTAGTTATTGTCATGTGGTTTATATGTATGAATAAAGCATTTAAAATACTGTTTCCATGTATTTTAACACATAATGTTCCTTTGAAGATCTGCTTTTTTAGAAAATTAAAACAAAAGTTTATCTCACCAAAACTGGAACATTACCAAAAATTTCCTTCTGATGGGGTTCGTTCATCAGATTAAAAATACCTTTAAGCAGGTATTAAACACAGCTTTCATTAAGCCGACATTTCTGTACGGAAATGTTTTTTTTTATTGGTATGATGTAATATTTTAATCTCCTACAAACAGGAATAAAAGCTTAAAAACATGCTTCACTTAATCAAGCAACTGAACTTTTCTATTACATTTACACGACCAAGGAAATGTGATTTTTTTTAAAATAGAAAAGTCTGTACATGCGCTTAAGCTTAAATTATTTCACAATTCTCAATGAACTGCAGGTTAGACTAATTATCAAGCTGATCAATTAAAGTGATGTCACGTTCATTAAACTAGTTATCTAGCAAGCCACTCCTTTTGTTTGTGAATTTTTTAGCTTTGTCGCACTTTTTCCTTCCACTGAACTTTCCATTACTGTGCTTAAATGGTTACCATACAACTCAGATGGCCAAATTTTCAGTTTATTCAGGAAACAACCAAATAAACTGACATGAGAGGAAAACAGTTAGCTGGGATGGCAGGACAAGAAGAGGGAAGCATCACTACTTTTAATGATGACAATAATAGTTATTATTATTTTAAATTTTATTTTTAATGCCCTTCATATATTGAGATCTCAAAGGGACAGTACTTATACTACAACTAATAAAAATAATTTGTGTGTTTTCACATACAGATAAAACAATTTTTAATTAAATTGTGATTGAAGGAATTTGTTTGGCATTGAATAATTCAGTTTAAAGTTATGTACTTTACATCTTAAGTAAAAAGAATGAACAAATACAGTCCAGATTCACATTAACAACGCAAAAATTTTTTAAATCAGAAATATATCACACTGTATTGAAGCCTTACTTATAACTTTTCCCTTAAAGATGGTGACACCCCCAACATCTTGCAGCCATGGGTGGAGAGCCACAATCAAATTCACTTACAATAACCAGTTGTAAAACAAAACTCATCTCATGGTTGACTTTTTTTTTCAGGTGCAAACTCACCAGACACCATGCTGCCAGACACACACTCACACACGTACACGCACATTTGGATTTCACACAACAGATTCTCAAATCGCTCATATTTAGGCAAAAAACAAAAGAGTGAAACACTGACCTGCCATGCCGCTGACACACACACATCCTCTTCAAGCAGTTCAGCCTTTCAAAGAGGATCCGTTTGAACGCGTCTATATACATTGACCCTGTTGAGGTTAAAGAACAAGCCAGCACTTCAATGTTTTCTCACGAATCGCTTGATTTGAAATAGAAGCAGCAGCAGCAACTGCGGGACGAGCCTCGATAAAAGCTGAGGAGACGCGATCGCCGCAGAGAAAGAGAAAGTCAGACACGATGTGCGCGGCTGACGGGATGTTTGGACACTACTGATGCTCTGAGAGCTCCGTGGTGATCTTGTAGAGAGGGGGAGCGCGGAGAGAGAGAGAGCGAGAGAGAAACAACACACACACACACACACACACACACACACGCTATCAGCCAAATCTGACAGCGCCGCTTATAATTTTATAGCAGCTGCACAGTTGGGAGCAAACAACGCGTCCAGGATGGATGAGCTTGTTCGGAAGGAGCTATTTTAACTTGTGCAATTCACAGAATAATCCCTTTCTTACCTCCATATTCGCTGCCCGTCGCCTTGGATGCTTTATTCTCCCAGGTCGTCCAGGTATTGAAGCGCAATGAAAGTAGAGTAAATGCTGAAAAAGAAAAAAACTTACAGGCTATACTGTAAGTTTAAGGGAAGAGAAGGTGCTGCCGAACTTGTTCCCAGACGCATTGCTGCAGGAAGCCGAGCTTTGGGGTAAATGGGACGCGTGCGGTCAGGTGGATGATCCTGACATGTTCTTTGAGCGCAATGACACCACAGACGAGAAGGTTAACCATGAGAAGTTGAGGAGGGAGGGACGAGGCGGCCCACACCCGCCCAGTGTTTCTATCTGAGACCTACCTGCATCAGCAGCATCGCTTTCTGCTTCGGTTTTGCTTCCGGGACGAACAGGCGTGAGAACGAGACGAAAACTTGAGTTTTTCCCAAAACATGACGCACTGGGCCATGTAATCTAATGGCGATATGAAGCCCTGCTGATGTTCAGTAGCTGAGAATCTATTGCTTAAAACTGTGAAACTTTCACAACTGCAGGTGCTTCTTAATACTTTGCTCTAGGGGGGTCTAACGTGCGGCTCGGGGGCCATTTGTGGCCTTAGATTAATTTTTGTGGCCCCTGACAGCCATTAGAGAATGGCGCAAATGTGGCCACCCAACACTTTTGTAGTTGTTTTTTAAGGATATTTTTTCACAGCAAGTCAAAATTCTAAATGCAAAATGATTTTTTCTATTATTATTATTATTATTATTATTATTATTATTATTATTATTATTATTATTATTATTATTATTATATAAAATCCAACATGTTTTTACTCAAAAACAGACTTTTGCGTTCCCATCTATCAAAAAGTTAGCTGCCTTAATTTACATTAAGGTAAATTTAGAATATTATATGTGCTATGTGCTATTTATTGTTGTGCTGGTTGTTCACAATAATATTTTTTGTGATTTTAAATGGAGAAAAAATAATAATCTTTGCTCCTGGCTATTTTTCGGGGGCTTAAATTAAACATGCTGCTGTTAACAGGGTCCTTTTCAAGCATGTTAAGGTTATTGTTGTACAAAAATATGTGTTTTTTACATTCCTTGTTCATGTGCAAGATTTATATTTCTATCATGTTCAAAATAAATAAGAGTCAGGTCACAACTGGCTAACAGACAGTTTAGAAATATATTGGTGAATAAACTGTGAATACCTTAGAAATTATTAATTGCATCATGCATTCATTAAATGACTAAAACTGGCTAATTTCTTTCTAAATCTGTTCATATTTCAACAAAGTTGCTAAATTAAAGACTGCCTTGTTTCAGGTTTGCTTCACAACTTTCCTTTAAGGCACTCTTTGATAGTTGTTAACATCTATATTGGAATAATAAAGTACAATACAATAAAATATATATATATATATATATATATATATATATATATATATATATATATATATATATATATATATATATATATATATATATAATATAATTAAGGTTATTGTTGTACAAAAATATGTGTTTTTTACATTCCTTGTTCATGTGCAAGATTTATATTTCTATCATGTTCAAAATAAATAAGAGTCAGGTCACAACTGGCTAACAGACAGTTTAGAAATATATTGGTATATTGGTATATATATATATATATATATATATATATATATATATATATATATATATATATATATATATATATATATATATATATATATATATATATATATACATGAAAACAAAACAAAACAAAACATTTTTTTTTTCTATGTAGAGCTTCTTACAGTGTCCTAAAAAGCACCATATACATATAGATTCGATTTCTTACTATTATGATTTTTGTTCAAGAATGAGAAACATGGAAAAAGATAAAAAAAATTACATCTTTGATACAATAACGATAATAATAATTATTATTATTATGATAATAATAATAATAACTATTATTATTATTATTATTATTATTATTATTATTAGTAGTAGTAGTAGTGGTAGTATTAATATTAAGTTATGCTGATGATTTACGGTAAAACATGAACGTACAAGTGGAACAGAACGTAAACACGCCTGTAACTACAGTGCATTATGGGACATGGTGTGAGTTCAGGCAGTTAGGGTTTTTTAAATTTAGAGAATGCACTCCAGATCCCAGAATGCACCGTTCTCGTTCATTTCCTGTACAAACAAAAATGGCTTCGCACGGAGAAGATGCGGTTGCTAGCAAAGCTGCTATCTCAGACGAGCAGGCAAATAGAAAAACAGCGGCAGTTTCATTTGGTTTCACTAAAACTATTAATAAATTTAAACCGATTGCGAGAGTTGAAAAAGATTATTTGACCGGAATTGACAGGAATGAATTGCAGAGGTGAGCTGCTTGTGCTAATGCTACTGTTAAGCCGACACCGTAACGGTTACGTTTGAAATGTGACGTTACTTAGAAATCTGAGGACATAATTTAACTAAATGACCTTTTCTAATTCGTGTATTCTCGCAGTTCAAAACCAACCGAGAAGCCCAAGGAGCTCATCATCCCCCTGATCCAGAAGAACCGCTGGAGCCGAGCGGGTCAGCGCGGCGAAGGGATCGGGAAGCCGGAGGCAGCGGAGCAGGATGGGGATTCTGTGGAATCTCAGGCTGTGAAAGAGCTGATCGAAGGTGTGGATGTGAGAAAGACATCCTGGTGGACAATGAATGAGAGCAACAGTCTCCTCATGAGTCTCTTCTACTTTTAGATTCACGAAGGCAGCTTGAACTGTGGGAGAATGGGCCTCAGACAGAGGGGAACCTCAACCTCTCCATCCCGCTGCTGATGCAAAACAAAGTGCCTGATGGCTTTGAGGATGGAGACCATGTCAAGGTGGACCTGCGGCCTGAATCTGTGAGTAGGGGAAAGTGGTACTACACATCCTTGAACAGGTTAGGATTGGTTTATGTCCTGTACAAAACAAAATCAATCTTAGATCTTGAGATTTTAATCTGTTTTGAGCTCCTTTCAGAATGAGCTGTTTTAGGGTCTCTTGTCACTTTAAATCTAAATAAACTGCTGTTTACACTCGCATGTGAAAATAGCTGTAAACAATCATATGTCTTTGGAAAGCAGAAGTGGAGCCTTCTGCACAACCAACAAAGGTACAGCAAGTGACTTCTGATCGATAAGTCAACAACAAAACACTTAATTTTGTCCAGCAGCCATTGTACAGTGATAAAACCAGCTGACCAAACATGTTGGAATTGCTAAGTGACAGACAGTAACTGCTGATTTGTGATCTTAAATTTGGGAGGATTTTGAAAAGGCTTGTTTAGTTGACACCAAAAAAACCCTGAAACGGCTTAGTGGTTTTCTTTTTAAGCATTTGTTTTGTTTTTAGAAGCAGATGAGACGCACTTGGAAGCAAAACATGAATTGTTCATTATAGACCCCCTTTAAAATTGATTCTAAAGTCTTTGAAGTAATGGATTAAGGAGAAGTATGGAATATCGTATTACAATGTATTGTGGTTTCAGATGTTATTTCCTGTCCCATTGTGTAGACCTGGTTTCCATCCATCCTCTGGAAATTTGAGTCTTGAAAAGTGTGGCATTTAGACATAAAACAACTTGTCAGACCCTGACTACATGACCTATGACCCTGATATTCTATTTAAAATCGTTCTACTGATGCTATTGTGTGAATCAATACATGTTTTAATCAGTAACAGCAAAACCGGTTGCTGTTACCAGATGGTTTGAAAGCAGCTTGTTGCTTTTATGCATTTATTCTCAGACTTATAATTCTTTTGCTTAAAAATCCCAACTTGTAAGATGTTTGGCAATAAGACAAAATAGAAGCACATCACTTCAGGGTCTCATGAACAAGAAGGAGCAGCAGCTCCTTCACTCTGTCTGCAAGGCTCAGTCCAGACACATTAAGCAGGAAGATCATTTCAGCCACTTGTATTCAGGATCTTGTTCTTTCGTTCATGATCCATATTTTATGACCATATGGTGGGTTGAAGCGCTAAATTGAGAGCTTCTTCCTTCCATCTCTGCTGTTTTCTCCCTGCGACGGAGCCGAGCAGTGTGTGTTTTCTGCAGACACAGAGTTTCAATCACTTTGTCAGTTGGTGCTTGAAATCCTTGAAAATGGTTGAATTTCTTTTAGGTGTTTTCAAGGTTTGGAAAGTTCTTGATTTCCGTAGAAAGTCTTTGAAAGTTTTTGATACTCAAAATGCATTGTTTTATATAAAGTGCAATCCAAGATTTGATTTAAAACCTAAATTTAGAAAACATTATTTATAGTTCAAGCAAGATTTTTCACACACCTAAAAAAAATACTTTTTTCTCACTGTCTGAAGTTGAATGAAACCAAACGTTTGTTTCAGTTAAAATTACCAAAAATATTTTTATTTGGTAAATGCCAGAAAACGTAGCCAGAGCATTTTTTACTAGCTTTCTTTGTATATTGAGAAAAAGCATTGAATCTGAGCAAGAAGTTAATTTACCTGAACACAATTTGTATTTATTATTCCCAATTTCTCGATGACTTATTAATCTGTGTTAATTGAATTTAAAGGTTGTCCTATGTTTTATAACTTTTTTTGTTAAATTAGTGCGTAAGCAAGAAGTTCGATTCATTTTGTCCCTGCTGTAGAATAACAATACATTATTATTAACAGTAATAAATATTGTTAGGGTTGCACTGATTGTAGTTTTCTAGCCAATTGCTGATTACCAACTTTTAAAAAAGGTTGTTTTTTTTGTGTGTGAAATTTTG